AAAGGCTGCTAGAGGAAGCCCACCTGATTCTCCATCGTCTCGATGACCCACGGGGCCATTCTGTGGCTGCAACTACAAGGGGAAAAAAAAAAAAAAGCATTTATTTGTGTCAGAGCCTACCACAGGAGAACCCCCAGTTCTATGTCACGACCAGGGGGTTCTGTAAAGGATGGGCAAGGGGGTTTCCCCAGGGGCCTGTAGACTCTGTGCATGGGAGGGTTAGAATGGTTTTGAACAGACTGAGCTTTACTGCAGGGTACCCAGTCCTTACTGGGCACCCTCATGTTTCTCTGCCACGTTGTAAGTGAGGGCTCTACCAGCTGGAGCAGGGTATGTCTCATACAGCAGAACCAATGACACACACACACAGAGTCATCCCTTGGTGCACTTCCCACCACACCATTTCCTAGTGTCTTTACCAGGAAAAGGGCATCACTAATTCTCTCCTTTTTTCTTATCTGCCCTGTACACTGGTCCAGAAGATTTACTCCTTTACTAAAGAAGTAGAAAAGGGGCCTCAATCCACCTCTCCTCACCAACATGCGGATCAGTATTTTGTCAACTTCAGTGCTAGCCAGAAATTACAACAGTGGATTAAGGATTCCGCTCTTTCTATATCCAAAATGGTGACAGGGTATTTAAACTATAGCAGCCCACATTTGTTTCTTTGTGGTGAGCTGCACACACACCTCAACACTAGCATGAGTGATGACCTCTCCAGTAAGATTTTGTACTCTGAAACAAAACTAGAGAACTTGAGATTCTGGCTTCACGGACAAACCCCTGAGAAAGGAGATCCAAGAGAAAACACACCATAGTCCACCAAAACAAAGGTGGACTTCTCCAAACTCACCTCTGCACTGATACTGTTACAAACTAGTAATGCATGGATGATTACAGCTGTGGTCAACTAGAGAAGGCCACAGTTCAAACAAAATCTTTATGTGCATAATTCACATGGTATTTTTCTGCTTCATGAGACAGAGAGCTATCCATCATAGAAACCAGTCTAACACGAGCGAGAAATAGCCCTAAGAAACAGGTAGAACATACCCTACGCTGAATTTTCAGAGACACGTCATAACCTGCATTCCTGAAGAGTTCCACAGCATCCTTGTGCCGCAAATCCTTCAAGTCTCTGCCATTGACCTAGCAAAAAAGGAAAAGGAGAACCAGTTGCTGAAGGGCGAAAGGAAAATCTTTAATGATGCAGGCTAACATAGGAAGGACAGGAGATAAAGGAGACAAAAATCTTCCTCCTTCACAAAACTCTGCATTTGGGGCACAATATTATAATCGGCAAGATTTTTATGTGTTGAGAAGTAACAAGAAACTCCAAGCCAAAACACATGAAAAAAAAAACTACCTAGAAGCAAAATCAGAATACAAGAAGACAGTTGTGTCAATAGCAGCTTCTTATGCTGTTGCTTTACTGGAAACAAATCAAAGGTGTAATTCTGACAGCTAATGAAAATAAAAGAGCAACTACAGCAAAATTACGAGTCTCTTTCCCATGTTGTTCCCTCTACTGGTCTACCTTTGAAGCCCTCCTGTTTGAAAGAGTGTTGTAAACATATATTTAAAAGCCTATTGATGCAACAAAACAAAAAAAGACTTGCATACATATTGGCATCCATTTGAATGTGTTAGGATTTTTCTTAATTTAAAATAATATCTCATGGCAGAAGGTTTTATAACGTACTTGATTTCATTCACAAACTGGTGATATTCAACATAATTTTAGTTTTTCATCCCTGTTACTCCTAATTGTATCCCCTGAGATCACATCTAGCACCTCCCTTCTCTGGGTATTTAGACTCCCCAAACACAAGTACATAAATATTAAACTGTCAAAAGAAGATAGGATAATATTCTCCATTTAACTTATGGTCATTTTCTGGATCAATAACAGGCTCCAACTAGTGCAAGGCACTCTATAGAGACTAAAAAGAGTACATGTGGAACATAATAAGCAAGTATAAAATAAAATTAAGCAGTATTAGTAGATCACGTTTCACACTAGGACAGGGTACTTCACTCATCACTTTGTGAAGTGTATTGTCTTATATGATTGCCAACTGTCTGAAGAACTGGCAGGACTGAACCTCAGTCACTTGAAAACATTATTCTAAAAGGAAAAGCCACCTGTATTATTCCTGATGAGCCGAAACGAAGAGTTTTATGGCCTCAAAGTTTTAAAGCCTAAAAATCCCCCTGAGCAAAAGGATCAGTAATCATGGACTACCAGTAAAAAAATGGAAACTTAAAGGTGGAAGACCTTTATTTACACACGTGTAAACGATGATCCATTGTGAGCAAGAGAAGGTCTGATGGATTCTAAAACCTTAGAGAGGCAAGTAACAGAGAAAATACAAACGCAGCACCAAGGACTGCTTCTGAGACAAATCAAGAAGGCAGAAGAGATGAGCCCATGTGTAGAGGCACTCATCTCCCTACTGCTCAAAGCTCTCCCCACACCCACAAGATAGCTCCTCCATGGAGTTCACTCAGCGTCACCTAATTCACATCCTTCTCTCTGTGCACCGCGATGGCAAACTTGCATCTCACATCACATCACTGATCATAGCATTTCAAGAACACACGGGGCGACAGAAGAGAGGCCTTACCGATAAAATTTTATCTCCTTCTTGTAATCGGCCATCAAGGTAAGCTGCCCCATCCTTTTTGATCCGGCTGACATAGATGCTGCTGTCATTGGAAATGTACTGCTGATCTGTCCCACCAACAATGTTGAAGCCCAGCCCTAAGGTAAGCCAGAGAGAGAAAGCCGATGAGAAAAAGCTCAAAGCTTCAGATGTTCTTGCTGTTGTCGGGGATTGTACCCTCCCACATTGTCCTGTTTTCTCCACCATACTAAAACTCACAGCGCACAAATCTGCATCATTCTTTCCAACCATCACTGTCTAGAGAAGTTATTATCATTAAACTGGTCTTGAAAACAGAGGAGAGACCTTGAACGCCTGAGGGTCCAAGATGCTTCATTCCATAAAGCATCCATGAGCCATTTTCAGGTGGGTGTTAGGGAATACTGAGGGACATCCCATCGTTTCTGAGATGCCAATTCAGCCCTCAGCAGGAATACACAACTTTAGCACAGGATGAAAGAAAAAGGAAAGCATTCTGCATTTCACGGGAGGCTATACTAAATCATTACCTTTGAGCAACAAGAAATCATGCTTGGCAAGCATTTCATGAGCTGTGAAACAGAGTTAAGAAAGGCGAGGAGCTTTACACACTGTCTAGAGATGAGGAAACAGGCAAGAGGAGCTGTGCTACCAGCTCGAGGGCACCTAGAGCTTAGAACATTCCCCTTCCACATCTAAGGAGCTGGAACTGGCGTCTAGTAAGATTAGCTTAGATGCAGCTACATTAAATTGTATGTAATCACTTTTTTCTGTTTCTGGAATCCAAAACACCACAGGAAATAAAGACAAAGTTCTGGGATTTGAAGTAAAACAAAAAGGAATGCATATATTAAACATACATTAAACGGAACTGATATCCACGTCACATTTTTGTTATGTTTTGTATTGCTCTTTAAAGTAAGCCTCAATTACAGATCTCTAGCTGGAACCAGCTGCTGGATTAAAGTGCAATTAAAGATTAAGACTCTTTGTTTCACTGAAATCCGCAAGAACAAATTGAATTCAAAATCTGGAAAACCACAGGTTATGAGAGCCAATTCCCCATTGCACATGCAGCTAAGTTTCTCTACAAATGACAGTATGTGACAAGGGATGGGAAAGATTCCCTAACAAGAAGCTTGCAATGAAAAAAGAAAGAAAAGCCAAGGAAAAAAACCCACAAATATACAAAGCAAATAAAGAAAAAAAAAAAAAAACCACCACTCTTATTTTTCTGACATAAACCAGTCATCCAAAACCTATTGTCAAGAACAGCTGAAGGCAAATTTTCCCCGAGTTCAGCCAGGCTGATTTATTTCTCTTCTCTTTCTTTCTCTCTAAGTTGGGACTAGAAACTTTGAGAGGGAGAGTTGCAAATGAAAGTAAAACCACTTTCTGGCTGCTGGGAAGCAGCAATTTAAATCAGTCATAGGAGATCAAAGGACATACAAGATGAGTCATGCTATTTTAGGTGTACAGCTCGGAAGTAAAGAAATATTAACAGCAATCTTGCCACACCTTTTTTTTTTTCTTTCTTTTTTTTTTTTTTTTAAATCCTCCTCTTCCTGGCAGCTTCAGACAAATGAGGAAGAAAATGGAAGCTGCAGCAGAGCGAAGAAACACTGACATTTCAGCTAGACTAATACCTATTCCAAGAAGAGACAGTTGTACACAATAACACATCCTTAAATGGGAATTAAAAAAAAAGTAAAATCCACAAACCTAAAAATTATTTGCCATGAAGCCAATAACCTGGGCACAGGGAGAATCAATGCTACAGAAAGCATGAGGTTTAACCAATATTTATTAAAAAGCCATAAAGAAGAAATCAGAGTTTCAGAGTACATTGATTCTCTCTCACATATATAAAAATCCCCAAATATATACATATATATCTCTATGAAAAAAGTACACATTTTTCAAGTTTCCACCCACGACTGGAAAAATAATCAAAAGTCACAGCTTTCAACAGCAGAGGCAACACGAGACAGGAGCAGATCTTCATGACAAAAAGAGGCAGCAGTTCATGCTAGACCAGGTTAAGTATTCACAGGGCTTTTTCACTGTGTCATTCCTTTCCAGCACTTAAACTTCCACTCTGGCTAAAAATATCTTCCCTATCATTCCTTAAGCTCTCTGCTATTCTTCCCTTCCAGCTCACGAGGCCACAGAAGGAGACACAGCACAACTGGAAGAAAAGGAGCAAGGGGAAGAAGAGAGAGCACATGGCACTAAACCCCTTGTCTACAAGGGGCCAGAAGTGGAACAGCAGAGCTTTAAAAGCAGATTCTGGGCTAAGCTTCTGGCCCTCCCTGAGGCTGCAGGCCTCCCTATGCCTCATTTACTAAAATACGCAGTGATATCCAAAACGTGAACTCTTCACATCCGCTGTCGATACCTCAGCAAGATCCAGACCGCTGCCGCAGCGAGCGCCAGGCCTGGCACCAGAAAGGCTGCTAGAGGAAGCCCACCTGATTCTCCATCGTCTCGATGACCCACGGGGCCATTCTGTGGCTGCAACTACAAAGGGAAAAAAAAAAAAAAGCATTTATTTGTGTCAGAGCCTACCACAGGAGAACCCCCAGTTCTATGTCACGACCAGGTGGTTCTGTAAAGGATGTGCAAGGTGGTTTCCCCAGGTGCCTGTAGACTCTGTGCATGGGAGGGTTAGAATGGCTTTGAACAGACTGAGCTTTACTGCAGGGTACCCAGTCCTTACTGGGCACCCTCATGTTTCTCTGCCACGTTTTAAGTGAGGGCTCTACCAGCTGGAGCAGGGTATGTCTCATACAGCAGAACCAATGACACACACACACACAGAGTCATCCCTTGGTGCACTTCCCACCACACCATTTCCTAGTGTCTTTACCAGGAAAAGGGCATCACTAATTCTCTTGTTTTTTCTTATCTGCCCTGTACACTGGTCCAGAAGATTTACTCCTTTACTAAAGGAGTAGAAAAGGGGCCTCAATCCACCTCTCCTCACCAACATGCGGATCAGTATTTTGTCAACTTCAGTGCTAGCCAGAAATGTTCAAATTACAACAGTGGATTAAGGATTCCGCTCTTTCTATATCCAAAATGGTGACAGGGTATTTAAACTATAGCAGCCCACATTTGTTCCTTTGTGGTGAGCTGCGCACACAGCTCAAAACTAGCATGACGACCTCTCCAGTAAGATTTTGTCCTCCAAAACAAAACTAGAGAACTTGAGATGCTGGCTTCACGGACAAACCCCTGAGAAAGGAGATCCAAGAGAAAACACACCATAGTCCACCAAAACAAAGGTGGACTTCTCCAAACTCACCTCTGCACTGATACTGTTACAAACTAGTAATGCATGGATGATTACAGCTGTGGTCAACTAGAGAAGGCCACAGTTCAAACAAAATCTTTATGTGCATAATTCACATGGTATTTTTCTGCTTCATGAGACAGAGAGCTATCCATCATAGAAACCAGTCTAACACGAGCGAGAAATAGCCCTAAGAAACAGGTAGAACATACCCTACGCTGAATTTTCAGAGACACGTCATAACCTGCATTCCTGAAGAGTTCCACAGCATCCTTGTGCCGCAAATCCTTCAAGTCTCTGCCATTGACCTAGCAAAAAAGGAAAAGGAGAACCAGTTGCTGAAGGGCGAAAGGAAAATCTTTAATGATGCAGGCTAACATAGGAAGGACAGGAGATAAAGGAGACAAAAATCTTCCTCCTTCACAAGTGAGCGAGAAACAGCCCTGAGAAACAGCCCTAAGAAACAGGTAGAACATACCCTACACTGTTACAAACTAGTAATGCATGGATGATTACAGCTGTGGTCAACTAGAGAAGGCCACAGTTCAAACAAAACCTTTATATGCATAATTCACACGGTATTTTTCTGCTTCATGAGACAGAGAGCTATCCATCATAGAAACCAGTCTAACGTGAGCGAGAAACAGCCCTGAGAAACAGCCCTAAGAAACAGGTAGAACATACCCTACGCTGAATTTTCAGAGACACGTCATAGCCTGCATTCCTGAAGAGTTCCACAGCATCCTTGTGCCGCAAATCCTTCAAGTCTCTGCCATTGACCTAGCAAAAAGGAAAAGGAGAACCAGTTGCTGAAGGACAAAAGGCAAATCTTTAATGATGTAGGCTAACATAGGAAGGACAGGAGATAAAGGAGACAAAAATCTTCCTCTTTCATAAAACTCTGCATTTGGGGCACGATATTATAATCGGCAAGATTTTTATATGTTGAGAAGTAAGAAGAACTCCAAGCCAAAACACATAGGTACTGAAAAAAAAACTACCTAGAAGCAAAATCAGAATACAAGAAGACAGTTGTGTCAATAGCAGCTTCTTATGCTGTTGCTTTACTGGAAACAAATCAAAGGTGTAATTCTGACAGCTAATGAAAATAAAAGAGCAACTACAGCAAAATTACGAGTCTCTTTCCCATGTTGTTCCCTCTACTGGTCTACCTTTGAAGCCCTCCTGTTTGAAAGAGTGTTGTAAACATATATTTAAAAGCCTATTGATGCAACAAAACAAAAAAAGACTTGCATGCATATTGTCATCCATTTGAATGTGTTAGGATTTTTCTTAATTTAAAATAATATCTCATGGCAGAAGGTTTTATAACGTACTTGATTTCATTCACAAACTGGTGATATTCAACATAATTTTAGTTTTTCATCCCTGTTACTCCTAATTGTATCCCCTGAGATCACACCTAGCACCTCCCTTCTCTGGATATTTAGACTTCCCAAACACAAGTACATAAATATTAAACTGTCAAAAGAAGATAGGATAATATTCTCCATTTAACTTATGATCATTTTCTGGATCAATAACAGGCTCCAACTAGTGCAAGGCACTCTATAGAGACTAAAAAGAGTACATGTGGAACATAATAAGCAAGTATAAAATAAAATTAAGCAGTATTAGTAGATCACGTTTCACACTAGGACAGGGTACTTCACTCATCACTTTGTGAAGCGTATTGTCTTATATGATTGCCAACTGTCTGAAGAACTGGCAGGACTGAACCTCAGTCACTTGAAAACATTATTCTAAAAGGAAAAGCCACCTGTATTATTCCTGATGAGCCAAAACGAAGAGTTTTACAGCCTCAAAGTTTTAAAGCCTAAAAATACCCCTGAGCAAAAGGATCAGTAATCATGGACTACCAGTAAAAAAATGGAAACTTAAAGGTGGAAGACCTTTATTTACACACGTGTAAACGATGATCCATTGTGAGCAAGAGAAGGTCTGATGGATTCTAAAACCTTAGAGAGGCAAGTAACAGAGAAAATACAAACGCAGCACCAAGGACTGCTTCTGAGACAAATCAAGAAGGCAGAAGAGATGAGCCCACGTGTAGAGGCACTCATCTCCCTACTGCTCAAAGCTCTCCCCACACCCACAAGATAGCTCCTCCATGGAGTTTGCTCAGCGTCACCTAATTCACATCCTTCTCTCTGTGCACCGCGATGGCAAACTTGCATCTCACATCACATCACTGATCATAGCATTTCAAGAACACACGGGGCGACAGAAGAGAGGCCTTACCGATAAAATTTTATCTCCTTCTTGTAATCGGCCATCAAGGTAAGCTGCCCCATCCTTTTTGATCCGGCTGACATAGATGCTGCTGTCATTGGAAATGTACTGCTGATCTGTCCCACCAACAATGTTGAAGCCCAGCCCTAAGGTAAGCCAGAGAGAGAAAGCCGATGAGAAAAAGCTCAAAGCTTCAGATGTTCTTGCTGTTGTCGGGGATTGTACCCTCCCACATTGTCCTGTTTTCTCCACCATACTAAAACTCACAGCGCACAAATCTGCATCATTCTTTCCAACCATCACTGTCTAGAGAAGTTATTATCATTAAACTGGTCTTGAAAACAGAGGAGAGACCTTGAACGCCTGAGGGTCCAAGATGCTTCATTCCATAAAGCATCCATGAGCCATTTTCAGGTGGGTGTTAGGGAATACTGAGGGACATCCCATCGTTTCTGAGATGCCAATTCAGCCCTCAGCAGGAATACACAACTTTAGCACAGGATGAAAGAAAAAGGAAAGCATTCTGCATTTCACGGGAGGCTATACTAAATCATTACCTTTGAGCAACAAGAAATCATGCTTGGCAAGCATTTCATGAGCTGTGAAACAGAGTTAAGAAAGGCGAGGAGCTTTACACACTGTCTAGAGATGAGGAAACAGGCAAGAGGAGCTGTGCTACCAGCTCGAGGGCACCTAGAGCTTAGAACATTCCCCTTCCACATCTAAGGAGCTGGAACTGGCGTCTAGTAAGATTAGCTTAGATGCAGCTACATTAAATTGTATGTAATCACTTTTTTCTGTTTCTGGAATCCAAAACACCACAGGAAATAAAGACAAAGTTCTGGGATTTGAAGTAAAACAAAAAGGAATGCATATATTAAACATACATTAAACGGAACTGATATCCACGTCACATTTTTGTTATGTTTTGTATTGCTCTTTAAAGTAAGCCTCAATTACAGATCTCTAGCTGGAACCAGCTGCTGGATTAAAGTGCAATTAAAGATTAAGACTCTTTGTTTCACTGAAATCCGCAAGAACAAATTGAATTCAAAATCTGGAAAACCACAGGTTATGAGAGCCAATTCCCCATTGCACATGCAGCTAAGTTTCTCTACAAATGACAGTATGTGACAAGGGATGGGAAAGATTCCCTAACAAGAAGCTTGCAATGAAAAAAGAAAGAAAAGCCAAGGAAAAAAACCCACAAATATACAAAGCAAATAAAGAAAAAAAAAAAAAAACCACCACTCTTATTTTTCTGACATAAACCAGTCATCCAAAACCTATTGTCAAGAACAGCTGAAGGCAAATTTTCCCCGAGTTCAGCCAGGCTGATTTATTTCTCTTCTCTTTCTTTCTCTCTAAGTTGGGACTAGAAACTTTGAGAGGGAGAGTTGCAAATGAAAGTAAAACCACTTTCTGGCTGCTGGGAAGCAGCAATTTAAATCAGTCATAGGAGATCAAAGGACATACAAGATGAGTCATGCTATTTTAGGTGTACAGCTCGGAAGTAAAGAAATATTAACAGCAATCTTGCCACACCTTTTTTTTTTTCTTTCTTTTTTTTTTTTTTTTAAATCCTCCTCTTCCTGGCAGCTTCAGACAAATGAGGAAGAAAATGGAAGCTGCAGCAGAGCGAAGAAACACTGACATTTCAGCTAGACTAATACCTATTCCAAGAAGAGACAGTTGTACACAATAACACATCCTTAAATGGGAATTAAAAAAAAAGTAAAATCCACAAACCTAAAAATTATTTGCCATGAAGCCAATAACCTGGGCACAGGGAGAATCAATGCTACAGAAAGCATGAGGTTTAACCAATATTTATTAAAAAGCCATAAAGAAGAAATCAGAGTTTCAGAGTACATTGATTCTCTCTCACATATATAAAAATCCCCAAATATATACATATATATCTCTATGAAAAAAGTACACATTTTTCAAGTTTCCACCCACGACTGGAAAAATAATCAAAAGTCACAGCTTTCAACAGCAGAGGCAACACGAGACAGGAGCAGATCTTCATGACAAAAAGAGGCAGCAGTTCATGCTAGACCAGGTTAAGTATTCACAGGGCTTTTTCACTGTGTCATTCCTTTCCAGCACTTAAACTTCCACTCTGGCTAAAAATATCTTCCCTATCATTCCTTAAGCTCTCTGCTATTCTTCCCTTCCAGCTCACGAGGCCACAGAAGGAGACACAGCACAACTGGAAGAAAAGGAGCAAGGGGAAGAAGAGAGAGCACATGGCACTAAACCCCTTGTCTACAAGGGGCCAGAAGTGGAACAGCAGAGCTTTAAAAGCAGATTCTGGGCTAAGCTTCTGGCCCTCCCTGAGGCTGCAGGCCTCCCTATGCCTCATTTACCCCCCTGAAACACAAAAGTCCCTCAAAAAGACATAAAAAAACCCCTTATGATTGGCAGGATTAGGAAAAGAGAGATTGAATAATACTGCAAATTGAACCAATTAAGTTATTTCTTTTTCCATAAAACCCGATTTTTCTGCCTCATTTCAGCCTAGTACCTCATCAGGAAATTTGAAAGAGAGACATGAGCACTGTTTTTCCACTGTAAACACGTTCACCTCCTCAGCAAATTTTTGCCAGAGATGTTCAGCATCAGACCTGTTCTAAAAAGTTGCAGTCAGAACTCCGATTAGAGAGATTATGGGATTATACTACGCTTTACAGATAACAGCGTTTTGTTCCTTCCACAGAAATTAATAATAACTGAGATGGTAAATGCATCAAGGTCACAGGGGGCTGTAGGACCTCCAAATCAAGTGACATGGTTAGAAACCTAACTCTAAAAACACACAGCCCATTTTAATGGCGGGACAAATGCTGCTTGGGGTAATCAGACCTGAATTGCCGTGGCCACATCCAAGACCTCTCAACTCTGCCCTTCGACATCCCCTTCCACCTCCCTCAAGATTTCAGGTTCCCAAATCTATGGAAACAGCTTTCCCATCAGAGTCAGTTTCGTTTAGCAAATAGCTTTCCCTGACAAGAGTGTCTTCGTTAGCTCTAGCTTGTGGCCGTGCACGCAGGGCTAATGCAGCTTTCAGACTGGTGGCCACTCCGGTGAGCAGGGGAGGCAAAGGGCTGCCTGCTGGGCTCATCCTTTGGGGTGTGATCGCTGGCACGGGGCGTCAGGACCAACCCCAGCCCGGCAGGAGAACTACCTTCACCCTAGAGAAAGGAAAATGGCACATACACCAACGACGTGGGTGCTGGGGGTCCCCAAGGGGCCCATGGAGCCAAAGGCCGGCCAGCAGCCGCACCCAGCGGTTGTGCTGACAGAAGGGCTGCCACATTTTGTCTCACACTCATTTTAATTAAAGAGAAGGCCTCGCACACCAAAGTACGGCTCTGGTTCCAAAACCTCCCTGGAGCCTGTGGTTCTTTGGAGCCAGGATTTTGCTCCAGAGCCATACGCTTGGTGCTAACTGGCTGCGCTTCTGGAATGGCATCCTAAATCCTGGAAAAATGGGAGGGCAGCCAGGCATCCCCAGGCTTCCCCAAAAGCACGGGCTGCTGCTGTGACAGGAAAATCACAGCCAAAAAATGTCCCACCGACTGCCCTGCTCCCTCTCCCTTCCTACCCCACACCGCTGACAGGATGCTGTCGGGTACAGGTACACGCTCCTGTTTTTCCGAAATGCCCCCTAATTTTGGGGTATCCAGCCCGGCCCTCACTGGAAAGCAACAGGAGGTGCAGCGGGGACGGCAGCTCCCGCAGAAAGCCGGAGGCGAGCCGTTCCACCCGAGACACCGGCCCCCTTCCCACCGGCCCGCCGTGGCCATACCCGGGAGCGGGGACCGTCCTCACCGCCGGGACCCCCCCGCTCTCCCCCGGCCAGTCCCCGCCACCGCTCCGGCCTCCCCTCCCCGCCCCGCCGGCGGCCGCGCAGGCCTCGGGACGGCTGCCCCGGCCCGGGTGGCGCCGAGGGCCCGGCGAGGGGCGGCCGCCGCTCCCGCCTCACCTGAGGGCCTGCGGGTGAGGCTGATGACCTCCTCGGAGAAGCCGCCGCCGCCGCCCGCCACGCTGCCGTTCATGCTGCGGCCTGAAGGTGAAGTCGGGGCTCCCGGGGCAGCCGGTTTCGTTTCCTCGGCCGCCGCCGGAGGGCCGCGCCGCGGAGCGCTGGGAGTTGTAGTCCGAGGCCGACCGGGGACGGAGCCCCGCCGCCAGCCGGCCCGGGGGAGGCGGGCGAGGCCACGCTCGGGGAGGAGCGCCGGGGCCCGGCACCGGCCTCTACCCGCCGGGCCCGGCCCTCGCAGCCGGTCGTGCCGGGAGGGCTCCGGAGAGCGGCACCTCTCCTTGAAGCGGCGGCGGCCCGCGGGACGGGGCTGTCTGCTCCCTCCGGTCCCCGAGCCCCCTTGCGATGGGCTGCCAACCGCCGGGCCTCCTGCCCAGCGACCTCCTGCCCACCGGCACCTTCCTTGCCCCCTGCAGCATCCTCGCCTGGCCTGGAGGTGGGTTTCTCACCAGGGTTAAGGAGCAGGCTGTAGTTTTCCAGGGCGGGAACAGCAGAGAAACGTGGAGATGTGGGACCCGCTGCCGGCCCTTTTCACTGGCCACACGGCCAAGTGAATGGGATGGGCAGAAGCCCAAGGCAGGCGGGTACCAGAGAGCATCCACACCAACCCCTAGTCCTGCTCCAACACAACACAGTGCTAGTCTTAGATGGAACTGCCACCCTGACCACCACCATCAGGAAACAATAAATACTTATAACTATGTCCCGCAGAAGGAGTTCAGTTTGAGGATTTGGGAAATCTCCTCAAAACCCTACAGAGCTCTACAGCTAATTACCTAGCAATAAAAGGCAAAATAGTTCCACTTTCTGTCTAACAGAGGATCCACTTGGACCCAGGATTCCTGTACCTCAGGGAGTTCTTGAGCCAATAGATTATCGGGAAAAAGATAGCAAAGGAAAATTTATCCCTATTTATTTCCTCATTAAACTTTGTCCTCATGCTATGGTGCTGCAATATAGACAATGACAACAGAGAGCAGGACCTAGTGCAATTTAATCACCTAACTGCTTGGCACTACTGGGACACTCATGTCAACAGCCTGCTGGAATTTTTCTGATGAAAATGAGGATCAGGTGCTCTGGTCCTTAGTGTTACACCACCGATTTGTCTGTTCAGTATCACACTACACATAACAAGTATTTTTGACTGCATTCATTCCAGGATTATCTGCACTTTTAGATTCCTGAATTTAACAGAAGAGGCAGCCTAGGTGCTTTATCTCGGGATTAGAGGAAGAATGTGCCACAAGTCTTAATGCTACAACATTAATGCCTCACACTCAATTATTGAGTGTTGACCACCTGCCTCATAGGCGGGAGGCAGGCATTCAAGGTCCAATTACACCTGCAATGACAAGCAAAACCAAGAATTGTCTATCACAAGAGGACTTCTTAAACCATTAAGCCCAGCATTCACACCTGTTTCAGTCCCGTTTCCACAGTTACGATGTACTGGATATCTACACTTAATTTTTGCCAATGGTTAAGAACACCGAGAGCAAAACCTGTACAATGGCTATCAACTATTTTTTCCTCCAAATTCCAGTTTTACTAATACCATACTTGGCAGCACACTCCTTGAGGATACACACTGTTCCTTAGCAGCAGTTTTAATGTACTTTAGAGATGACAGTTTTGGCTTAGGACAAAACCAATTTTATCTTTATCTGAGATAACTGCAATATTAAGAGTGTTTTTAAAAAAGTCTTGTTTGGCCATGAAGATATTTCAAACCAGGAACATAGGTAAATCATTTTTATCTACTCCCAGGCATCTCCAGGCTTCACCCACCACACGTTAACAGCTACCTAAGATTTCATACCTTGCTACTCTGGCACAAACCATTCCACAGGTCTTCACAGCCAGACACTTCCCTCCAGCACCATTTCACATGCTAGACTGACCAACATCTCTTGGGAGGTGGTACAGCAGCATTTGCAGGCTGTCTCCTCCATGTTCAACTGACATACATTTGCCAAGTTCTGGCATCCATTTAAAATGTTAAAAGAGGCAATTAAAACTAAGAGGAAAAAAGAAAAGTGGGGGGGGGGCGGGGAAGAGGGAAAGATTATGACTGAACTTAAGACTTGCGCTTTCATATCACAACAGGAGTAGTGGGACATTTCTCACAAACCACCAGAAACATCAAGTTATTTGTTGCTATGGTGAAATCAGAAATAACAATGTTGTCAAGGGGAGTCAGATATTTTAGAAAATGTGGACTAGGTTTGTTGAGACGCACGTTTGTCTTGCTCATACAGCCTAAACAGAAATAGAAGTGTACAGAAATATTCCTAACCAAAGCTTGCTGAAAGCCTCCTCCCAATTAATAGCCATGGTATTTTAGATCAATCTTCAAGCACAGAGAAAAATGGAAACTACAGCAGTTTATCACTTTGTCTCTTCCAAAACTGCATGTGCAAGTAAGCTTTCTAGCCTAAATTGTGCTTTCTATCTCTTCTGTATGCATGTCTGTAAATAAGAACATTATGACTGTTAAGTGTTTCTCTGAACTCAGCGTAGATCTATACTCAGCAACTTATGGTATACTATTAACCAACAACAGCAGGCCATCAAGGTGGCACCCGGAGACTCCTGCCACTGATGTTTATGTATTTAAAAAGCAAAATAAAAAAAAGTCTGCCAGTACTTAACAAGCTGGGCACAGTGAGCTGGAAGGTGCTGGGTGTAGCAGTTGTGTTACTTTTCTCTCCCATCTTTCACCTAATCCGCATCTCCTTTGTTTGTCACATATTCCTTGCTTCTCACACCTGAATGAAGACTGTTACCTCTCTGAGGAAAAAGGTATCACCCACATCCCCCTGCTCTGAAATAGGTCTCTGGTTGTAAGGAATAAATTTGGGGTGTTATTCAAGGGGCAGTCATCTTGTCTTTTGACATAAACGCAGGATTAATTTTTCTTCATCTAATCTTGATGCAACATGAATGGTTTTGATAACAAGCGTAGCCTGCAACAACCAACCTGGTATCTCATTTCCCCAGAGAAATACAGATAACAACTTAAGGACCCATTTGCCTTAGACAAAAAGCCATGAAGAACTGTGAATCACATCCCTCGTATTTCATATCCAATAGTAATGTAACCAGCCCTTTTTGGATGCAGAACACAATCATTTTATTTTTTTTAAAGGGTATAGGAATATGTGTGTTCTGAAACCTTAAATGTCATACTTGGGAGGCTACAAGAGTCTACCATCATCATTTGTAGAATCACCAACATCTTTCTTCTCAAATGTTGCAAATATTGGGGTACTTACCTTGCCTTCACAGAATGTTTGGTAGAAATATGGTCTTGGCTTTCCAAACACAAATAATTCTTTTGGCAGCAGACCAGAACATTAGAGCCCTTCATCCAGAAACATCAGTCCTTTAAAATAAAGTGTTCACTATAAATCTAGACTACAGACTCCTCTTTATAGCGATCTATTTGAAAAAAATCTAGTCACTGCTATAATAATAATTGAAAGAAAAAAAACCCCACAACGACATATTAATGATATTTCCACATCCCTTGTGCTTTCCCATAAGTTGAGATGCATTTTATCTCCTGTTAAAAATTGAAACATACAATGTTTCTGTGTGGCACTCCATAGAGCTGCAAGGACACATTCAGCAATAGCTTAAGAAGCAAACACATAGTAAACCAAGAGAAAGCCCCCGAGATAACTAAATAAAACATCTATCAAATATTGCAGGAATTCTGTGGGAGGGTGACTGGCAGAATAATTCCAAATATTATAGAGATTCAGTTAACTTGTGCAACCTCACACACAGCTCCTCTTAGCGACAATAAAACACATAGCACTTCTCAGAAGAACTCGGCATCCAAGGCACTGGAAAGTTTCCAGAAAAGAAAGACAATTTGTTCTTGTGAAACATCAGGTTTGGTGTCTTGATGTGTACTTGATGGTTCAGAAACATAATGCTTACTGGCACGATCTGGAAAAGACTTCTCTACTGTCTCACAAAATGAAGACCCCGTTCCCTGTGATGCACCCCTGTCCCACAGTACTTCTCCCTGGAAACAGTCAGAAGAGCTTACACCACAGACACCTGCGTCTCACTGCAATACCCATTTCTTGCCTGCCTGCCTGTCACAGACGGGAATGAAATGAAGACTGCAAAAACAATTTTTTTCTCTATATTATTTTTAATGAATGACAGAAGCAAGACGTGCACAAACATTTCTACCCCTGAACTGGAGAAAGCATCAGATGAAGGAGTAAACGGAAGCAAAGAATTTATTTACCTATTTTAAGAAGTTTACATTTGCGAACTATTGCTACGAAGCATAAAAGCTATACCTACAGTTTGCCTAACTAAGACCTCAAGGTGCAAAGGAAAAAAAAAAAAAAAAAAAAAAACAGCATGCCTTTCTGCCTGCATTTATTAACTTAAAATAAACACTGCTAACATTTACTCTGTATCACGTGAGATTAGAACTATTCAGACTGTGTCAAATTATTCTGATGAGTTATCAACTGGCTCTGCTCAAAGGAGATTTCCCCAGGAGCATCCAAAGCTATCACTTGTTGGTCTTCCACAAGTGCTTTGTGGTGGATTTTGACTCACCAGCAGATGTTCTTCTTTAGGAACTGCTGGAGTTTCTGGTATTTAAAATTTGGGGCTCTCTCATCCTAAACCATTCCACTATTTTCTGTTTATGATATATGATCATGGTTACTCCAACAACACAGAGAAAAATAATACAAAAAATACTAAGTGCTCTTACTCCTGCTTTTGTTCTCCAAAACTCCCTGGGTGGAGGGGGTCCACTGTCAATGCTCCCCCCAAATCCTTTCCCTTCACAATATGGAGGAGCCCAGCCATACCTGCAGTGACAATTCTTACGACTGTTACACACTCCTCTGTTATGACACATTGTCAGGTTACAGTCATAGTTCAGCAGTGATACGCTGATACATGTCCTGTTGATACAAAGCTTGTCACTACCGCATGGCGTGCCGTCTTCCACAGCCCCCTTGTCAGCTATTGGCATCCCTATGTGATAGTCAAGACCCCAACACATTTTATCTCTAACAGGGGTTTGGACTAGACTTTCGTGGTTCTGCAAGAGAGGCAATTTGTTTATGTTTTCACACTGGATTCTACCACATAAGACATCCTCAATACTGCATTTTGTAAAATGGATATTATTACGAATACCACAATTCCCAAACCGGTCACCTCGCATATTCACTGCTTTGAAGCAATCTAAACGAGCCACCTTCGCTTTTTTGCCAAAGAGATTCTTGCACTGTTTACTGAGAGAAGAACATTTTCCTCGATAGCAATAAGCACCATCTTTGCAAGGAGTTCCATCTTGCATGTAGATATCTGGCGGGCACAAAGGGGAACTCCCACTGCAATACTCTGGCAGGTCACAGGTGCCAGTACTTGCTCTGCAGAGCTTTCCTGCTGGAAGGAACCGACATCTCTTGCAGCATTTTCCAGAAGCACAGACGGAAGCTGCAGTTAATGTACAGTTCGGGTGACAACAGGGATCCTTTCTGCAGCTTGATGCTGAACCACAGTCACATTGCTCTCCACCTTCTACTATCTTATTCCCACAGTATTCACGCCTCGTGGTGTAGAAAGCGCCGGGTTTTGGTGGTTGGCGAAGGCAGTTTGCGCCTTGCCCCAGCATATCAAAGTAGTATTGGTAACTGCATTCACTGAACGCATCGGTGTCAACACTAGTTTCATACATAATGCATTTCTTCCGTCTGCATTTACAGCCTGGCTTATCATGATGCATCCCAAGATTATGGCCCAACTCATGGACAAACGTGAGAACAAAGGCGGACAACTTCCTATTAGTGAAAGAAGTGACTGCTGATGACCAGTGGCTATCACAGACGGACCCTAGAAACGCCAATCCCAGGCTTCTTCCAAAGCCCTGAAACGCAAATAAGTGTGCGGTATCATGGCGCATCCGTGGAAACAGGTTTGACTTCCGCCACTTGTTGAAATCGTCAAGTGCCTTGTTGATAGAATTAGTAATGTTTATATGGTTGCTTTTGGTCCAGATTTCCAACCCCACAAGAAACAGCCGCAGGGAAAGCTGTTCGTACAGAGAGTCTGCAATGTTGATGATTTCTATGACTTGCCTCAAGACTTCGGATTCGTTACGGCCCGTCTTCACAAACCGCACGTTGTCCACGACCACTGCTATCTTCATATACCTGATGTGTGTCCACCAGCCCTCTACCATCTCCTCTTCCTCCTCCTCCACCGCTTGGGGGGCCTTAAACCAGGGCAGCAAAGCCTTTTGGTGCTGCAGCTCCTCTGGGGTCAGCCCACAGGTGGAGCCCAGAGGGTTGCTGGCCTCCTCCATGCGGTAGAGGATGTGCCGGAAGGCCGGATCATTGGGGATGGGCTCAATCTCGTAGGTGCCATTCTCCACCCAGACCACGCCGTGGAGGCCCCTGCCGCAGGTGCTGAGGGCCACCAGGGAGCCCGGGCTCCCCTGCACCTCACCCTGGTAGAAGCAGTTGTCCTGCACGACAGGGTGCTCCTCCCAGCGGGCTCCATCCTTGCCGTAGGTGACCAAGGTGAAGGGGCGGGAGACCAGGCCATGCCGGGGCCGCAGGAGCAGCACCCGTGGCCGCCCCTCCACCTCCAGCCAGTAGGAGACAGTCGGGGAGGTGGTGCCGGCCCGGGGGCTCAACTGCCGCGGCACTGTCACCCAGCTGGCACCGACACGTAGGTCCCCAGACAGGTCCTCCGGGGTGATGGGACAATTCACCAGGCCCAGCAGCACCAGCAGCCATAGTAGTGCCCCCATGGCCGCTGCCCCACGACCCGCTCTGTGAAGAAGGGATGGAGTCTGCACAGGCCCTGCCTGGGGGGGACCACCCTCAGGCCTCCAACCGCCCCTCAGCAGGGAGGCAGCAGCTCTCCAAGGGCTCCAACCGCCACTTGGCCAGGGAGGGCCGCGGCTCTCCAAGGGCCTCCAACTGACGCTTGGCCAGGGAGGCAGCAGCTCTCCAAGGGCTCCAACTGACCCTCTGCCGGGGAGGGCCGCGGCTCTCCAAGGGCTCCAACCGACCCTCAGTGGGGAGGCAGCAGCTCTCCAAGGGCTCCAACCGACCCTTGGCCAGGGAGGGCTACAGCTCTCCAAGGGCTTCCAACCGACTCTCGGCCAGGGAGGGCTACAGCTCTCCAAGGGCCTCCAACCAACCCTCTGCCGGGGAGGGAGCAGCTCTCCAAGGGCTCCAACTGACCCTTGGCTGGGGAGGGCTACAGCTCTCCAAAGGCCTCCAACCACCACTCGGCCAGGGAGGAGCAGCAGTAAATTAGCCTGCTACAAACACTTTCCCGGCTTTTTATAATCTTCATTTCCAAATTAATAGGCGTTTCTCCTTCTGAGCAGACACAGCAAGGAAGAGCCCCAGCTCAGTTTCACACCCCTTGTCACAGACGTTTGCGCTGAGCAAAGGGATCATTTTGTTAGACCACAGGGGAAAAAAAAAATAATCTGTTTTAATAGCTCAACGGCTGGCTTTTGCTTTGTTCACTTTTTAAATTAAAGGATAACTTGTGAGCGGAGATCAGAAACAGACTATTTCAGCTCAAAAGAATATTTGGAAAAGCTCAGGGTCTGAAACAAAGCACAGAAATACTCATCTCCTAGCTGGTTACTAGACACAGCACTCTTTGGTGCACTGTCTTAGCACGTGCCTTACTTTAACTACTCCAGCTATACACACACACTCCCCGAAAAAAAGGTAAAACCAGAGAGAAATTCACTTCCACTACATTCAATACTGAGGCAAACTAACCGCATAAAGTATAAAAGCATAAAGCCTATCTACACCACAGCTGCTGCGTACCTACAGCAATGTGCCTTAATTATACACATCACTGATGCAACAGCTGTTTTCCCACATCATGGTCTTTCTAAAGGTTTGTGCTTGCAGACCACTGGTCTGCGAGCTTACAGGGACATCCACCACTCGGCTGCCATCCCTGTTCTAGCTCCATCAGGCTTCAGACAAAAATCTGAATTGTGGTAAGACAGGACGTCCAGTGCAGCACACTGTTTTTTTGGCACATAGTGCTGGGATTTGACATAGCCACAGCTGTTACCTTTTAGGAATTCTTCACAACTTTCTTTTCAAGACTGATAGCATATCTGGGATAAAGTCCATGCTGCTACGGCCCTTATCTTTCTCAGCTGCAGGAGGTGCACCCTCCCACCACCCCATCCCCATCTCAGGGATCTTGTCTTTTGGCACCAACTTCTGGGTGCTGACCTGCACCCTGGCACAGTTTAGCAGTTTTGCATTCCAGGGATGTGAACTAGCAGCACCACTTCCATTTCAAACTGCCCACGACAGGCACTGCCCCTCAGGAGGCTGAGCAGCGAGAGAACTGCTTAGAGCCTCCCTCAGCTGCTCCAAGCCCCAGGGTCCCAAATGGGCTGGTACCTTGAGCTGGGCACACGGTAGCCCTAACCAACAGCCGTGGAGGTTACCAACAGTTGTTCAGATTCTGTGATTTCACACCTTACTCATTCATTGCAAGTGTGGCCAACATTAGTAGCGTGTATCTTGTAACAGATTACCTCAGATTTAAGGAACAAAAAAAGGAGGACACCTGCTTCTACTAGGAGCAGCCTAGGTTTCCGTCTAGAAAGATCCTACTAGATATCCATAATTAATATTGTTTTAAATATACTACTGCTTTACCTAAAAGTTAACAAACTCATGACATGTGTTAGCCTTAGTTTTATTTTCATTTTAGTTTTAATTTTAGAATTCTACAAACTGTTTTCTGTGAAATCTTTTATGTGTAGTTAGTTGTTGAATAATTGTCCACCGCTTTTCAAGTAGCAGTTTTGCATTCCAGGGATGTGAACTACGTCAAATTATGTCCTTGAAATAAATACAACGTGACCACAGTAACTGTAAGAGAAAAATCCTGTCGCATAGTCTTTGTGTGCAGTGTCTGTAGCTGTGTGACCACTCCTGAAGTTGTAGAAAAGGCCCACCTAAAGCACTCTGCCAACTTGCTAGAGACATGCTTTACCCCTGCAAAAATTGCCTACTACTTTCTTTTCCTTTTACTATAAACACAACTACATTTTTAGGACTAGAAAGTACTCTGGTTCCATTGTTGAACTCAACAGCAGGTTATTCTCGAGGGGAAGTGTCAGCATAAGTTCGCGACACTGTGCTGAGCACCCAAGCAAGCCCTTCAGCATCCAGATTACGTAAAAAGGGATGATGCTGTTGTGTTCAGGTTACCAAAACCTTGCACTTCTATACTCTCATCAGGTAAAGATCAAAGGCAAGGGACGGGAAGATTCCCCATTATATGATGATGAACACTTTGGAAGAAAAAACAACTGACCTTATAGTAGAGAAGGGGAAAAGTATCGCAGCAATCCATAGCTACTTCAACTGCAGAAACATTTGTTTGGCGGGTGTAACTGGCTTTCTCAGAATTCATCAGTGGTTTTCAATTATTTTTTTCCATCTTGTAGCCTGCTAAAATTTCCAGTGAAGGTACAAGCTCCTATGGAATTGAATCTTACCAGCAAGAGGTTTACTTTTCTCACTTACCTTTAGGAACCTTTAGGAATCAGTTACAAAACCCCAGCAGCCTTGTGGACCACAGGTTGAAATCCACTGTCCTGGCAGAAAGAAACGAAGCCTTCTGATTGCTGAGAGATCGATAATTCATTGAAACTCACACACTGGGAAAACTTCTCCGCACCCATCCATCTATGATGCACATTAGGCTACAGAAAGACACTTGTCATGTAAATGAGCATTTGTTTGTTCTGTGCATGATTACAGCATCAAAGCAACACTTTATCAAAAATTCACCTTTGTCTCCAAGAAATAAGAAAAACTGTCTTGAACCTTGAATGCCTAGTTATCATAATTTGCTTTGCCATTCATAAAATATTAAAAAAATCCGGAAAAGGTGTATCACATTAGCTTTTGTTGAGAAGCCATCTGTTGGTTCAGTGAAGCCACAATCTATTTGCATAACATCTTCACTATTTTTTCCTCACAGGAAACCTCCACGTCTCAAAATAAAGTTAATCTCTCCCCTTTGCCTTGTCCCTCCTATTGCCTATACCCTTCTATCCTTGCTCCAAATACAGCTTGCTTTGGCAAACTACACGTACTGACTGTCCAAATGGCATCTACCTTTCTTTGCTAGGAAAAGGTTACCAAAATATGAAGTATGGGGGCAGAGTAGCAAAGAAGAATGGGCGAGAATGACACAGAGCCTGGTCAGACCTTCCTTGAAGAGCAGAAAAAAACCCCAGTATTTCTACTGCATCTTAACTTTACGTGGTGAATTGAGGTAGCCCCTCTTCCTACAATCTGGCTGGATTTTTGCATGTATGTGTATATATGAACATGTGCCTACATGTATGCATATCTGTTCATGTGAATATACATTTATATGTACTTTCAGGCTCTCAGGAGAATGCTTCTATTAGAGTTCTAGGTCATTTTTAGCTCCTGCTACCCCATGGTTTAGGCTAAGAAAAGTCCTTTTAAAGTCTGAAAGGTTACTATGTAAGAGCAAAGGTAGACCAAGCTCCCCTGTACAACCAAATCTCTCCTTTATGCAAAAGAAAGTGACACACAGGGCAAATTTCAGAACTGCTTGCTTATTTCTCTTTCATCTATAGGCTTTACAAATATTGAAAGTCCTTTGAAGGACTTCAGTGCTCAGGCTCCAAACCAAGAGACAGTGCATAAATACAGGAAGAAAAAGGCTTAGATTCTCATACACTGGAAAACATTACTGACTAGAAGATAGCTGCCTAACAGCTTTTTGGCAATAAATTACTTGGAATTTAACAGTAATATCTGTCATAATGTCACTTAAGTAAATTAATATCAAAGCTCACTGAACTGATAAAATTATTTCAGAATATCTTGTCAGCAAATAACAGGATCAGAAGATACTTCAGTCCCTCATTTCGCAAACCTTCAGCATTCCAGGACAGCTACTAAAAAATTGACACACTTGTGGGTAAAATCCCTTACAGCTTTATATTATAATTCTCTGAGGAAGACATCATTCCACTGGAAGAGGCTTATCACCTTCAAATGCACTGTTTCATGCACAGAAGCCATCTTCTATCCTCTCCATAGCTTAGATGCTGGCACTTTAACTCAGACAGAAAAAGGATGGACTTCTGGTCTGATCAACGCCCTCTGACACCAGCCAATACCAGATGTTTCTACAGAAACCAAAGATGCTGCTTGACTCAGACGGGATCAGAGCAGAAGTCCATCCTTTTTAACGCCCTCTGACACCAGCCAATACCAGATGTTTCTACAGAAACCAAAGATGCTGCTGAGAGATGCAGATGTGGGGACAGTCCACCCCTTCAAGTTTCACCTTCATCTCAGAATCAGCTCAAATTCTGAGCATGGAGTATAATGATTCATTCTAAATCTAACTCTAATTCAGCTTCATTAACTTGTCCCTCTATTCCTATACCACAACACCAAGCGAGTTCTCTACTTTCCTACATGCTTCACAGTACTTGGTTTTATAAAGACTCAGTATTTGTCTTTTCTTTCCTAAGAAACTAAAGTCTTAGTCCTCCCAGTGGAGGACTAAAATTATCACAGGATAATTTTTCTCCTACTCATTTTATTGCCATTCTTCAAACCCCTCTATTTTAGGAGAATTCTTTTTCAGGCACTGAGCTGTACAATACATTTTATTTCAGGTGAAGTCCAGCAATTGACAAAATACTTTCCTCATACTATGTGTGCTACCATCCACTTTTGACCTGAACTGCATTTGCCTTCAGCACTAAGATATCTTTCTTCTGTTAGTAATACTAATCTTTCCTTGGTGTACAAGTAGCTAAGTTTTCTCCCTGAAAAAAAACCCACCAAACCTCGATCCCCATTACAATGCAGTCTAGTTATCTTTCTTGCTTAAGTTTTTCCAAACGACAAACAGGTGCTTAGTAATATGAAAAACTATAGAGAAATTCAGATAATTTAATGGTCATTTCCAAAGAATTTATTTTGAACATCAAAAAATCCAGCAAGGACTCTTGAGATTCCTCACCACTCCTGCGTCATTTCTGGAGATCCTCCTTTCCACCATGGGAGGTGGATGAGATGATGGCTTTGGTGCTTCTTGAGCTCCTTGTTTTCAGGGGAATTTCTTTAACACAAGAAAATATCAACACCCTTTTGTTCTAAGTGTATTCACACTACCTTGTAATCATTCAATGCTGAATAATTAGCCCTGTCTGGTTTTGAGCATCCTAGAGTAACTGCTTTCTATATCTTCATTTGATTTAAGAGTTCACACTAGCTTATTACCTACTTCTATCAACTTCTGGAGAAATACTGGTTCAAACTTGACCCACATGGTATGAAATGAAGCTAATACACACTTAAGTACACTGATACATCAATTTTAGGTGTTTATCTGCATCAACAAGAAGCAGCTATTGGTCTATCTACATCTTTAACAGTGCAGCTTTGGATCACAGCACAATAATTACATGGGTCTTTCCATCATTCAACAGCTACCCAGAGCTGTTTATTAGTTAATGAGACAGGAAAAGTCTCTTATAACCTCAAAATAATTTGACACAGCTATTTAAGTACGTCTTAGTCTTCCTTCCTATCCACATTTTGTCTGCTATGTATAGACCTTTTCCTTGCTTACTACAGTTTACTACAAGCAGCAAACTATTTCAAGCACCGTTACTTCAACGAAAAAACAAACCCAAACCAATAGTTATTTCTTTGCAATGGATAACTTCAACTTTTACTGCAAAAAAATGGTTTGTGTAACGTGTGAGCTGATGCAGGCAGGACGCAGGAACAACCACAAAACCACAGACTATAGGCAAAGAACAAATTTAACCTCAATACCTCATGGATCGGAGAATCTCTGAAGCAGCACCCAGGCAGAGGCAGGCAAGCAAGGGACACAGGCACCGTGGAGAAAGAGAGAGTCCTTATTAGCAAGAGAGTGAGAGAGCTCACACTTGCTGTTCTGGCCTGTATTTCAAGGATTCAAGCAGGCAGAGCTTTCTGCTGTGCTTTGATCTCTTCAACAGCAGGGCAAGAATCTCGGTTATGTTCGATAAGATGCCCCCGAGCCCATCCCAGGCCTGTGTTCTCTAAGTGCAGATGTTCTACTTGTTGAGCACACAAAACTAAACCATTAGTGTGATATATGTGTTTTCCAGCACCCCACATGCGAGTCACTTGAGCGTGTTTACAGTCCTCCTCGCCCATTTTCTGTTACTTTCCCACTTGTAAGCAGCATGCTTAAATAGCAAAGTGTATCGCTGTCAATGACATTTCTCTTCCACTGCCCTACCTCCTCAGACATAAAAGGCAGATGACCAACCAAGGTTATCAGATGCAGCAAGAAACTGCTAGAAGCACAGAGGAAGAGATGCAGTTGATGTATTTGAGTTACAGCAAAAGAAAAAAGGAGAAATATAAACAGCTACACTGAGTGTGCAACAGCAAGACATTTTAGCCTGTTTTATGCCATCATAAATCTCGCTCACAGAACATTAGCTTTTATAATAAAAGACCAGCTTAGCCATTAAGTAAAATGAGTGCCCAAGAACATCTAGAAACTTTTTGACACCTAATTGCATGGATTTGAGTCTCCAGTTATCAAATCTCTTATCTGTACCCCAAGAATATTAAAGGCACAGCAATTTATATCAGGCAGCCTAAATCCTTTAGATGAACTTTTCTTCTTCAAAATAGCACACAATATATTCTGATATCCAACCAAAAAACCGTTGCCAACACATATGGCGTATTTGCCACTAACAAATTAAGCATTTAAGAAAGGTATTGCAGCAGCCAGGATTTTTATTTGCCAAGAATTAAGGGGTTTTTTTATATAAAAGTTTTTCTTTTTACATAGGAAACCTAGACACAAGGGATGCAAAAGTTTGCAAAGATTTCAGGAGGCTGCAAAATATGTCCACGTGAAAACCATTCCCAGAAGGCAACATTCACAATAAGATGAAGACTGAAAACACCTTTTTTGAGGCAGCTAACGTCCTGACATTAATATCTGCATGACAGGCTTCTAGGGGAAAAAGCTGTTACAGGGACTTCAGTCCCTGAATTATCAGTCTCAGCTGAAGAACTTAAATATAGAAAAAAAGGGAGCAAAAATCTCCTGTTTTCCACGCACTGACTAATCCAGATGTGTAACAATAACTTCCTTCACTGGAGTCTTGTCCGTTTTTCAGGTGGTCCTTTAGTACCAGTGCTCTGTTGAGCATTCTTTGCAGTCTCTTTTTCCTCTGGCTTGACAGCTTCAGGGACTGGTTCTGGTTCCTTCTTGATTTGATCCACTTAAAAAATAACAGCAAAATAAAGTTAAACCTCCAATTCTTATTCCTAAAATACCGTTCAGAGTACTTAAAAAATATTGTTGATGTCAAAGGGGCAATATTCATTTCAAAGGTAAAAGAATAACCAGGGACTAAATTCAAAACCTATACAAGGTTGTTTCAAGGTTGCTTATGATCAACTCAAAGCCTTGGCATGCTTTCTTGAGCTTGTATCACCATGCAAAAATCACTACAATGCTGGACTGACTACACTGTTCCCTCATTAACCCTTTTACCCTCCTCCGCCTTTCAGAGACCATTTCCTGCATTTGGACCTTCTGGCAACCTTTAGGCAATACAGTTCTTCAGACAGAAGGAACAAGAGTAAAACACACCCTGTTTTCACTTTCACTCTGGCTGCCACAGAGAGCTCTTCCCTAGTACTTTGCACAATCAGGCAATGCCAGAATTCCTAACCACCTCAGCAGAAGCAGCAAGGGGCTTAAATGGCAACTGGAAGACACTGCTACGTAGAGCCTATTTTTTAAGTTTTGTGAAAATATTAGAGTTTTACCTGGGACAGGCTTTTCTCCAGGCTTTTGCTGTAGAGGAGGAAGAAAAATGAAAATAAGACATCAGTGGAACAAAAGTCATAATTTTTAACCCTTCCTGCTATTCACTCAGGAATACAAACCAAGCAATGCACCTTTATACATTACAGTTGAGGGCAAAAGAGATCACTAAATACTCTTTAACAAAATACAAATAACATTTTATAACATCCAGTTTTTCCTCTGACAACTGAAAAGCATAACAGCAAAAAATACAGGGTTAGCCAGTCTTTTCCACATCTGAGGAGTAAACAGTTCTGTGAGATGCTGTAAACATAATTTCCTTTTCTCCCAAGCAGAAGACCTGGTGGAACAAATGGCTACTAGAGACGATTAGATGTAATGACAACAACTTCACAGAATGCCAAGAATTTCCATGTGAATTAATGAGCTTCCAGAACAATACAGTAACTAAAACAAAACAGCTGTGGTGGCTTGATTGAGCTCACAAAGCAGGAAACTGGAAGCAGCAGCAAAATCTGATAGGTCAAGAACAGACCCTCTGTGATTAGATAAGGAATCTGTATAATAAGCTTCTCCCTCATAGTTTTGCCAACATCTTAATGACTCCTGCAATTACAAAGGGGAATCCTACACTCCAAACAGAGCCTTCAATTTCAAATTTATTATCAAATCCATGTTAGCATTGCAGAAAATTCCCATTCAGTTTCAACTGTTCAAGTAACTTATGAGTCCCTTAAGTTCCACGTAAGTTACAGTAATACTTACAAGCTTTTATGTGTCATACCTGAACAAATTTGGGTGGAAACTTTTGTCTCAGGTCTAAGAGCAAAGCATCTACCCGTTGCCTTTGGAAAATAGAACTTGGTTCTTCTTTCTTCTTGGCTTTTGGTTTAGCTTTCTCTACAAGTCAAAGAAAAGTAAGAGAAAGCCATATTAAAAGTTCTATTCTCTTAGCAGCTCTTTGTTGTATAACAAGTTGGCATTCCTCTCTCCTCTGAACTTCACCTACATTTCCCTTTGACATCAGGGTTGGGTTTTTTGTGGAAGACAGATCAAGGACAATTATTCCCTTCTGACAATCTGGTGTGGCTTCTGAAAATGTACTTAGGTCTCCAGGGGGCTGAACAGTTGCCCACTTTGTTGACACACAACTCACTATTGTCATCTCCCACCTATGCTTCGATGTTCATCCCCACCAGCACAGAAGAGCAAGATTCCTTCAACCGACAGGGAGCACTAACCTACCCTTTGACAGACAGACACTTAACCTCACCTCTACACCACCACTGTGCATTGCCTCGAGCTTTTGCCTACATTATCTTTACTCTCCAAAAGTATGCAGGAGCAACTAGGAATCATACCTCGTTCCTCTTGATCTTTGAAATGCCACCAGTAGCCCTTGGATGGGTGATACCGACAGTAGGACATCGCTTCTTCAAAGGCAGACTGAATTCCATGAACTGCAGTGAGCTTTCAGGACAAGAAGACAAGGCAGCATTCAGAATTTAAGAAGAAAGTACAGTATAAATTTTTGAAAGCAGGGATTTTAAAACTAGTATTCTATATTCATTTTTCTTCTTGGAAGGGAACTTGGGACATCTATTTTTAGACCAAGAATGTAATCTCTTTAACAGGCTCTTACAAGCCCTTTTCTGAAGTGCTTTTCTAAAATGACAGGGGAAAATTTACAAAAGCAGTAGTTTACTGGAACAGAAGAAATCAAAACAAACCTGAGTATACTATTTGAAAAGAAGTAATACATCAACTTAAAAAACATAAGCCTCATTTAAAGGGAAATATTACATTACCTTAACATTAACATTCCAAAGCAAGCTTCACTGTATTTGTATTTAATTACTATTTCACATGGATTTGTCATTTAATTTTTCTTTTGATTATTTGAATCTCATGCTGTTCCGCTAATTGTGTAGCTTCAGTTACTCTGATTATTCATCCTCAAACAATGGATCCTACTTTTTGGACCATACTGCGCTCTCCCAGGATCTCTCATTTCCTTGTGGGATGCACACCATACTAACCAGTGGGGTTTGTTTTAAGTTACTGTATGCGACACAAGACCTTTCCTCAAAACAGTGAAGGAGGCATTTAAAGAGCCTGGGGAACGACCAAAAGTAAAAGCAGATGCAAAGTGGTATACATCAAATGCACAGAACACTTACAACTCTGGAGTTAATGACAGACCCTAAGTCAGGTGCCTGATAAATCACTCCAGCGATAATGTAGTAGTCAGCCAACGGAATAACTGTGGGGAGAAAAAAGAAAAAGCAGGATCAATTTAAAACTCTGGCTGAAGACTGTGTATTTATTGCTGAATTTCTATAGTAACAGCAGAAATTGCAGTATTCATCTCATCACCAGATTTTATCTTTTTAACTTTTTCCTTCAAGGTACTTTATCTGCACCTTAGCCACAGACTGATAAGGGGAAAAAAGAACCGGGTCTGCTTTACAGACAGAAAAGCAATAGTTTTAAGTCCCACCCAAACAAATTGCTGTTCCTCTGCACTGCAACAGTAATGAACATAACAATTGCCTCCCTAATACTCTGCCAAACACTCTAGCAGTGCTACCAGCTTCACACTGCTAAGGATCTTACCTGCACACACACTTGTTCCAGTTCCTCCATCTGTATTAACACATTCTGTCTGAACCTTTTGTACTGAGCAGACCCTACTCATCCAGTACTTGCAATTTATGCAGCTTGGATACCTGCCTAAATTAAGAGACCAAGACAGCTGGATGCATATTGCAGACAGTACACACTTCCCCTCAAAAGAAAGAGGATTCTCAATATTTTCTTAGAATTGGAGCAGGACAGAGAACAGCAGAGAACACCACTATCTACCACAGCAGCCTACTTCTCTAGACAGGTAAATCTCCCTAATCATTGATCTAAACATTTTTCCCAATATCATTCCCAATAGGCAAAAACTGGGCTTAAATAATTTAAAATATAAATACACTTTTTTTCAGATCACACAGAAGTCATATGACAGGTCTGCAGCAATTCTACCCGAGTACTCAACACTAGCTGTGAATTCATTAAATTTTAGTTTTCTATCCCCATTCTCGTGTCTCAAATACATTAATATTGGTACCATGATAAAAAGAAACACATGGGTAACATTTGAGCTAGGGAACTGTGTGACTCAATCAAGGTACCGAGCACAAACTGTACAGTCACAAGGGGAAAAATGTCACCAACAAGTCCCAGTTCCATTTCGCCAAACATACATTGGCATCACAGCAAGAGTCAGAACACACAGACTGTGGAAGCCTCAATGCTACACTTGATCTAAAAAGTGTCAAACCAGGAAATTAAGGGCTGCATGATATTTTCACATTCACCTTTTGAAAGCTAGATTCAAACCCTTCATTAAAGAAACAAGTCGAAAAAAATCTATTAAAGAAAGAATCATGTATGTTCTTTTTCAGTATGGAACTGCAATATATGGAGGCCATTACCTGATAAAAGCAAATAAGAAGCATTGCTAAAAAAGGCAAAGTCCTGTACAAGCCCAAAATGCATATACAGAGCCTAAGTCATAAAAAAACCCAAACACATTAATAACTAGCATTAACCCTGCCTTTCTTTTCCGTAAAGCTTACTCTGAAATAACCTAAATTATTTTATATATATGTGCAGTAAACACAGAAGACAGTCCAATAACTACTGAGAAGTGGTTACTTTTTTAACTAATCACACACAAACAAATTTAAGGTTAAAAAAGAATAATGAAGCCGGTTGCAGGCAAATGGAAAAAAAAAAAACAAACCCAAAGTATTTAATTTAAAACTTTGAAAGGTCATCATGACACTATAAAAAGGAGTGGTGCTGTTGCGTCAAGATTCCCCCACCATTCCAAAATACTCAGTTCTCAGAGGAATAACCAAAACAACAAGTAATTGCGGTATCTCATAGTTATTTTTCACATGGGTCATAATCTTCTACTCTTCTACTGACAAGATTCAGCAGTGCAACCGATCCACAGTTGAAGGTGGAAATGCTGCAGAATAAGAGAGTGACATGACAGAAACAGAAATATGAATGATCCCTCTCCCTAACTAATGGAAATCATGGTTCTCCAAAATTAATAAATAAATCACATACTGGCCACTTCAGATGATTGGCTCTAATTAAACTAAGCTCATTGGCCCCAAGCAAGGGTATCATTAGCCTTACATTCAAATAATTAAAATGAAAACTCTTGCATGGCCTCACAGATAAATATGATATGGCATGAATGCTGTTATCAGCTTCCCATGACAAAACACACCACAGAGCAGCTGTTTCTCACTGCACTCTTCACATTTCACCACAAGATGGCAATCCCTGCTATAAGCACATTAGAGGTCACTTTGCAAGACAAAATACCTCCACCCCACCACCAAGCCTCATACCCTTTTATTTAGGTGAAGGCAGAGAAGGGAAACCAAAAGTGCTTAAACACAAATTAGGAACAGAAAAAAAGCAAGTAACTGATGTGCCTTCCCAATAGTGACAAGGACTGAGTGACCTTACCTTGTGTTGGAGACTGCCTTTGCTGCTTTCGGATAATGAAGAGAATGGGCTCCTGAGCATGAAGAAGGATGTACTCCACGCCAACCATCTGGCTGAAAATGAAGCAACCAGGATAAGTATCTTCCTCAAAATGAGATCTGTAGGATGTAAAGAGCTACCAAAGGGCCTCAAAGTACAGGGATAAAGTTCTGATGTTTTAGAAGCTCTTCCATATAATGTGCAGTAAATAAAGGCATAGAATTTCCTGAACTGGCTAACAAAACCTAGCAGTGTATTCAAAGGGAGTTACAACAACCTGACACAACATCTAAGTAGAACATGTTAGCAAACAAACAAATAGCAAGAAAGATAACAATCTATCATCACAGAGATATCATATAAACACAAAAACAAAAGACCAGTGTATGATGTGATCATCAGGGTGTCTGATGAGAAAGCCTCTCTGCAACCACGTCTGAGCACAAGTGACTTTACCAGTGAACTTTAAGCTCAGTTTGCACACTCCCTGTCACACTGTGGAGCCTTTAAATAGTTCTCAAACATCTCACTTGTGCTCGGTGTAGCAGATGGGGAGCTGCAAAGAAAGTTAACTTGCACATGCTGCAATCTCATTACACCACCATCTGTGATCAGTTTATTTACAACACTCACTACTTTTATTATCTGTACTAAAAAGCCAGCTCTTTGGAGGAATTATGTACTGATTATGGCACATAGCCAGCAGGATATGGAAACACAAACTATTTATGAACTCAGAGTACCCCCTAACATAAACCCTATTCACCAGAGAAAAACATGTAACTCCATTACCAGTACTTGGGTTCTGTTGAGCTGGGAGGATGAGAGAAGGCAGCTTTTCTAATTGCAACAAGCATCTAAAACGTGATTTACTGGAATCTCAGAACATACATAATATCCTTCATGCTTAACTCCTCCTTGAAATGGCCTAAGAGGAAGTAGAAGACATCCAAAAGAAAAAACCAGGCTCTCTGGCAAACAGTGGGACTAAAAAGCAGAGAACAGGAGGTTTCCAGCATGCTTCCATTCAACCATCAAAGCCTCTGGATGGAGGGACAAAGGGCACTGCACAGGAAACAGTTCCAAATTACTACTTACTTCAAATGGTCCAAGGTCATCCGCTGCATTTTGACAACTTCATTGTTACATGTTCGGTCATAGAACGGGTTACTTCGCTCTGAGAAATAGTCCAACACACTCCCATTGTTTAATATTGGAATCCAGGAGCTGTCAACCCAGGAAATTCCCAAGAGGTTATCTGGGAAGAGAAATCTACACTGAGTACCCAAGAAGCCAGAAACACTACAAATACCTCCAGGAGTAAATTAAAAGCCACCAGTTAATGATTATAGCAGGGGAAGAAGGTGGAACAGCCTCATGCAAACCAGTTCTAATTAAAAATGTTTCAGAGAGTTCAAATAATAATTGATATCCTTTAACCTTCTGCAGTTCTGTTATAGGCACAAAATAGAAATACAGCCTTTTTTATTATTGCACTTTTCTCTCCTTGACCAGTAGCTGCTGGCACACCTCTATGTCTCAAGAACATGAACAGGGTCCGTGTGCACACATGTGAGCGCTCTGTTGGTGGGAGTTAATTAGCTCTGATGATGTATATAATATTATCATAGTACATCTAGTCAGTAGTATTACATACAGTTTATTTTATGAACCACAGCATTAGCCGAGTAGAAAGGCAAGCTAAAGCATGGCTCCTTTTGAAAGCCAGGTCTCTGGTAAGTAAGTTGAATTTACTAAACTAAGTTAGAATTAGCTACTGGGTATGGGGGGGGTGAGGGAGAGGGTGCAAGGGAAGTGATACACCCCACACTAAATCTGAGCCCGGTTATGTTTAAAACAGTTTATTTCTTACAGAAGTAGTTTCCAAGATGTAAACTATGATGCTGAAAAAAATAGGTAAAAGACTACAGAGATCTATTAACTAAACTAAGAGTTTTCTTTTGCTAAAGCCAATGAGTAAACTACTGAGTGAAACAAAATAGTAGCATTGGCAATATCTCTAAGAGTTCTGTTATTAAAATGCATACCATTATGATATTACAGCAGCTGATATTGTTATGTTTCAAGGAGTACAATTTTTGATGGGGGCGAAATCTATAATAAACAACAAAAAAACCCCAAAACAGCAGACAAAGATACTGTCTTTGGGCAGATGTTTCCCAGTACTCTTGAACAAGAGATTCTATCCCTGACTCTACGATTAATCTGCCAAATTGCCTGCAAACTACTTATTTCATAACTCAGTGGATATTACAGAAATCTCACTACAGAGTATTAACAATTATATGAAAAACCAAGTTTTTTAAATGAAATGTATGCTGTAATCTGCAAATCATTATATGCCAGCTAAACTTCTACAGATTTGGGGGACATCTGAATTAAAATCCCTGGATTTTATTATCAAACTGCAGCAAAATTATGTTCCTCAAGCAGATCATAGAAACCAGTGTCAAGAATTGGTTTCATGGTCAATAAATCTGTTAACGTTGAATATCCATGAGGCACCTGGAAGAGCCCCCTGAAATTCATCCATTTTAAATGGTAGCAGCAGCAAATACAATTTTCAAGACACAAGAAAGCAGGAAACAAAGGCGTGCACATGCACTGTTTAGAATCAAAAAATATAAGTGATGGGATGTCACTGAAGAATGAAGAACTGAACCATTCCGTTACATTTGCACATTATATACATACCCAGAACTCCCACTCATCATTCCACTGTGAATATTTTACTTCTGTGACAACTCTGCACGCTCAAGGATGACTGGATCAGTTCCAAAAATGTCACCCGATATAATAACTGTTCCTCAGAGAAGCTGCTTGTAGTAAAGTAACACTGGCTGCCCAGCAAACCAGGAAAAATGCAGCATAAATAGTCACGCGCAAATCATTTTGCCTTGTTAATCTCAGAATTGCCAGCCTGACTCTTCCACAGAACTGGGGGGAGGGAGGGAGGACGGGACATCTAGAGATATTAATATTATTTCACATACACTATTCTCTTTCCTCATTATAAAAATGGAAATCTCAGAAACACAGCATTGATTATCCATTATTAAGCAATTAAGTTGCAGTAGCACCGATTATGCTAAATTCCTTTCAAAACCAAAAGACAAGCTTTCCTGCCCAACATGCATTCTTGCCGTAAATTCTCGTATTACATTTCAAATACTAACTTTTGTTGCTTGTATGATTAAGAGTAACTACATTTCTCGAGAAGAATGTCAGGCAAGCTTCATATATATTTTTATATATATATATATATCTCTACAGTGCTCTATATAGACTGATAAATGTATCGTAAAATGGACTATAAAGTTGGGCTGTAAAGCTCAATTGTCCATAGCTGCTTAGTGCCAATATTTATAATTACCTTTATAACTAGCAAGACTGTTCTCTTAAGCTATTCTTGGAAAAAAGGGGAGGATGAACAAAACCAACCATGAACCTGACATGCCACTTATTCCCACTAAGAAGGGAGCACTTCTGCTTATTTGGGGTATGAGAAAGAAAGGATGGTGTTCCTGCTTCCCTGTTCCTTTCAGAAATAGGACATCTTGTTCAAAGCATATTTTGCGGAATTTGCATCACAAATGCAAAAGTAAAGTGCTTGTGACAATACTGCCAGTCTGCCATGAATGTTAAGACCATTTGGGAGACAAGTCAGCAAACCATGGCAAAAAACCAGAGGACAGCAATTCACACAGTGTGCCGTACCTGGCCTTGCCAGCTGTATAGCCCAACACTAGGCTTTGACAAACCAAGAGGAACAGTAAAATAGTTTGATATCTTAAAAATAGAAGTATGCTTCAAACTCAACTGAATACATTGAGCCATATTAGATACAAGATTTTGAGGGAGGTTAAATGATCTGGATTAAGTCATAAGGTTCTCACACCAACTAATAACTTAATACAGCACAGCACCCCTGCCATTAACTGGGCACACAGCTCCTTGCTGTGATCTGAAACAAGGCAGTCAGAAAACCAAACAGGACCACAGACATCATAAAGTAAGAATTTGAAGAGGAAAAAAAAAAAAAAGGAGAAAACTTCTGTGGCATTATCAAAAGCAACCCCTCATGAGCTTTCCCTAAATACCTGCTCTTGGTCATTCTCTGGGACTCTACCACACAGGCTTTCAATGTGATTCCACACAGAGACTTTTACAGAGAAAAACAGTTTCCTTTCTCATGCCCCTCAACCCCCTCTGCCTCTCTCAAAGCTCAAACTCTTCACAGTAATTTGACCTGTATTTCGTTTACAATGTAAATCTTCTTTAATACTTCATTCAAGTATCATCTCTTGTTCTTCAAAACGTTCTTTCTATTCACAGCCCTGAATTCTCACTCTTTCTTGTTCTTGGTTACTGCAGGTTTCTTTCTGGCTTCTCTAACACCTGGCCTGCCTCACCACATCCACCCAAAGCACTGTTAAGATTACCAGCCCAACTTTGGTCTCATGCAAATCCCACACGTGCCAGTGTCTCCCACTTTCCTCCACAGCTCAGAGCTAAAATTCTCTTTAAGTCAACTCTTTAAGCTCTTTAGCATAAGCTGTTCCCTTATGTTACCATCTCACCCCAGGACCTCCATATTCCACGTGAAAAGGCAGTGACGTACCAAAAAGGAGGTTAGGTTTTCGCAGGTGGCCCTGAACACACACTACAAGCCTGTCTCATGTCCAAGAAAACTGATTTTTGGACAGTTTTTCTTCCCAATTCTTTCTCATGACACAGCTGCATTAGCAATGCTACGGAACTCTCTCGCACAGAGTTTTCAAAGACATACACACCAACTTAGAATCACAGAATGACAGGGGACTGGAATGGACCTCTGGAGATCATCTAGTCCAACCCCCCCGCCAAAGCAGGTCCACCTAGAGCAGGTTGCACAGGAACTTCTCCAGGCAGGTTTTGAATGTCTCCAGAGATGGAGACTCCACCACCTCTCTGGGCAGCCTGTTCCAGGGCTCTGCCACCCTCAAAGTAAGAAGTTCCTCGTCATGTTTGGTAGCACTTCTTATGTTCAAGTTTGTGCCCATTTCCTCTTGTCCTATCCCTTGGCACCACTGAAAAAAGAGCAGCCCCTTCCTCTTGACAGCCTCCCTTTAAGTATTTACAGGCATTGATAAGATCCCCCCTCAGTCTTCTCTTCTCCAGACTAAAAAGACCCAAGTCCCTTAGCCTTTCATCATGCGAGAGATGCTCCAGGCCCCTCCCCATCTTTGTATCCCTCTGCTGTCCCCTCTCCAGCAGTTCCCTGCCCTTCTTGAACTGGGGAGCCCAGAACCGGACACAGTACTCCAAGCAGAACCATTCCCCCTACAGAGCGCTAATAAAGGAAGCATCTCTATAACCCTCGCACCTTTGGCCACACCTCATCGTCCAGTTACTTGGGACGCTCCCTGGACCGACCGCTATTAGCACAGCCACCTCCAGCCGAGACGATGGCCGTCAGACCGACCTCCTCCTCCTCCACCCCCTCATGGACGGAGCTCACCCCTTCGCGCCCGCCCAGCCGGACACGGAGTCGGCCTCCCCCCAAAAGCCTGGAGCCGCCCCGCCCTCCCGGGCCGCCAACGAGGGAGCCCCGAGCGCCCACGGCCGGAGCGGCCCTACCTCGGATGTCCACAGCCGCCATGGCCGCGCCGCGCACTTCCGCCCGGCGGGGGAGGCGGCGAGGAGCGGAAACGGGGTAGAGCGGCGCCGGCAAACGAGACGGGAGACCAGAGCGGCACCACCCCCGGCGGGCGGGGCGGGGCCTCCGGGGGAGGGGCGGGGCCACCCGGGGAGAAGGCGGTCCTGGGCCAGCCCTGCCATGGGATAGGATGGGATGGGATGGGATGGGATGGGATGGGATGGGATGGGATGGGATGGGAGGATGTCCCTTGTCCCAACACGAAGCCACTGCCCAGGGAACGACGGGTTGTGCTGCCCCAGCCTCCCACCACAACCGCCAGGTGACCTGTGCTGGTCACCCACAAATCAGTGTTGCACAACCAGAACACTGGCACTAATGATGAAAGCGAAATGCATTTTTTTTAAATGCTAATTCTGAGCTGTTGGTTCCAAAACAGAGATACGGAGGTTTTACCATTGTTTTCATTTGTTCCTAAGTCTTATGAGGAGAGGCTGAAGCAGCTGGGGTTGTTCAGTCTGAAGAAGAGGAGGCTGAGGGGAGATCTTACCGCACTCTATAACTACCTATACCTCTCTATACCGCACTCTATAACGAAGGGGGGGTGTAGAGAGATGGGGGGTCGGTCTCTTCTCCCAAGTCACAGGAGACAGGACAAGGGGAAATGGCCTCAAGTTGCACCAGGGGAGGTTTAGATTGGATATTAGGAAACATTTCTTCACAGAAAGGGTTATCCAGCATTGGAATAGGATGCCCAGGGAAGTGGTTGAGGCACCATCCCTGGAAATGTTCAAAAGATGGGTTGACATGGTCCTCAAGAATATGGTTTAGTGATTTTTTTTATTGCTTATTTCTTACTTATTTTCTTGTCAGGGTTAGGTTGATGGTTGGACTAGATGATCTTTAAGGTCCCTTCCAACCTAGACGATTCTATGATTCATCTTGTCTTGGCCCTCTGATAGCTGCCAGTCACTTTCAAAGTGAAAGAGACACGGGTTGCAGGTTCCTGCTGAGCATCGCACCCATCTTGGTGGACCTGGCTGGAGGTGCCCTGAGTTAGATGACGTGTGGGGATACAGGATGGTTGAGATCATACCATCAGAACACTGTCCTGAGGTTTGGTTCTTGGTATTTTGACTAAGTGGTATCACTAGTCATTTATAGGGTGAAGAACAACATTCTGTGGGTGTCAGAAAATATAAACACTGAAGATTTACAGCCTTTTTACCTAGACTGACAACCGCAATCCCCCAACCTGTTGTACGGAGCTCCCAATACCCCCATGTCCCACTGGTGCAGCTCCATACACCCATCTCGCCCGAGCCCTTGGTGGGGGGCTGCAGAAGTCAGCTGTACCCTCGCTGGGAGCAGAGGGGCTGTGGAGAGAGCCTGGAGGTTATCACCTCGCTGATGGCATGTCTGGGTGATAACTGGTGATGGAATTTCTTCCTCTTCTGTTAGAGAGACATGCAGAGCGTATATCAAGTAAAGGAAAGGGATATAATTATTGTATGAGGGCAATTACAAAGTTAGGACAAACCAGAGCTGACACTGCTTATTTGCTCTTCATTCCGACCTCTTGTACTGATGCATTAGGAGACAGACTTTAATTGCATAACCACATACTCTTCTTTTTTTTTTCCCTCCAGGAATCCCTTCCCGTTCAATACGTTAGAGTCAGTGTACAGCTCACAGATACACCGGGTTTGTCTTCTGTGAAGGAGAGCTGCCTGCAGAACGTGTTTCAGATACACGTTTCAGATATTAAAAGATGTCAAGGTATCAAGTGAAGGTTACAGAAAGTGACAAGATCAAACAGTTAAGGCAGAAGAATGCTGCTTTGGAGAATTGGACTGTAATTCTTGACAGTGATATAGATATACATTATATTAGTGAAGTTTTTTCAACCTAACAGGGTTTCACAACTGCCCAGTAATTTCAGTCCCTCATTCGTTGCAGACTGACACCAGGGAGCTGATCTATAGATGTGCTGAGCCCTCGCTGCAAATGGAGTTAAGTGGCCATGTTTTGTGTGTTTTATGATTCTCTGTACTCCAAGAAGTTGAGCTCTCTGAAATCCCTCTCTGGTTACGCACCCAAAATAAAATTTTTGTAATCTCTGTGCCTCAAAAAGCGGGGGTGATAATAAGTTCTTTAACTCAGAGTGGTTTGTGAAAATAAATTTGATAATATCTGCAAAAATATAATGATGGTGGGTAGTATCATAAGGAAAATAACAATCCCTGCTTCAGAACAGGATTTGCTTAGTGTGCAAAAAATAAGTAAACAAGATTGAACAGCAGAAGAAAACAAAGTATTGAATAGGTGAGCACCATCCATTCTTAATGCTGAGTACCAAAGGAAGGCATGAAAAATGACACTTGATAGTCTTTAATGGCACAACTACGTTAAAAATCAAAGCTAACCTTAATTTTTCAATTTTCTTATTTCTGAGTGCTTGTCTTTGCTACCCCATAATATTCTGTATAACATGCCTTTCCACCAGATAATTCACATGTGCACACACTGCAGATCTCCATTCGTTAGGTAACTGCTACTTGTTAGCAGTTTCTGCCTTTGCCAAACACACTTCATTTCCAATATGACTATGATAGGTTGCCATTTGAAACCAAATATTTAAATATCCCCATCATGCACTCCTGGGGAGCAGAAATGCCATCAGACATAACAGCCGCCCTTTCGGAGCATCTCTGATGGCCCGTCATGTTCTATATCTGTGCAAACCACTTTTCTTCAGTAGCAAATGGGAACTCAACCTCCACTTAAATTATTCATGTTGTCCATCTTTCCTGCTGACTCTGCACCTCTCCTCAGCAAGTATGTCTTCAGATGAGTGAGGGGCTGAAAAGCAAAGACTCCTGGATGGGAAATAATGGGGTTTGATGGCTCACAATACATCTTCAATTACACGGTGAGACTACCCGAAGCACTGCTGGAAAGAATTGTTCATCTGGTAACATATTCACCTTCTACTGCAGCATAAAAGTCGAGGGCTTTTTTCACTCGGCTTCCTCTAAAGGCAGAGACCTAATGAGTATTGCGGTTCTGTCCTCATTAGCAGGAGGTGTGGATTACAGATGAAGAGCTAACAAAAGCTATAATGTTAAATGAGGAATATGTGCACACTGCTTTTAATGTCACCTTAAGCGATGAATATTTAGATTTATTCATACTATTTGTGTGTTTTAAAAATGCATAAAATACTAGGATAAAAACTGGCACCTTTTCATGCCCCAGTGTTTGGATGTCATTTAGCATCAGCCTCTGCCCAGTGGAATTATTTTTATGTATTGCTCTGATCAGAGTTAATGAGGAATCTCATCCTACTGTGCCACCCTCTGATGGGCACTACACATGCATAACCCAAAAGCAAGCCCCTAATTTACAATATTCGTTGTCTCCAGTGGATGCAGAAATGGTAGAGCTGAGCACTCCAGTCACGTTATGGGTACAGTGGGGACATTAGCAAGGACTCCCTTTATAGTCTCAAATAAACACAGCTAAATTGAGAGGACTATCTCTACAAATGGGAGGAAATTCATCTCTGTGCACATCTCTAGCAGTCCACGGAGATGGAACAAATCCGCTAGCTACACGCCATCAGGTGAAAAGCACTGTGCATGTATCCTTGTCATTATACCCTGGGCAGTTTCAAAAACATATGAGAGGCTGCTGAACAAGGAGATCATCACAGAGCCTTGGATTCTGCCAACCTGCGTTTGAACTCACAGTTTAACAATAGCAAGCTCCAGGTCCCATTCAGTGTTCTGGGCAAATCCAGTTCTGCAGTGAACCGCAAGGGACATTTATATTCCTATGCTAATGCAAAATTTCTGGGCTTGAATTACTTACAAAATGAGCAATTTACTACTGGTTTTATAGTAAACAGGAATGGGAAAATATTCATTTAAGTGCCTATCTTCTGGTTTTGGGGAAAGACATCAAAAAATGAATAAACCAGTGACAAAAAAATCAATGGGAAATGCAAGGAAAATGCTGAAATCACAAAATTTTAAAGGGGGCAAAGGTTTGAGTGGGTTGCTATGAGTTCATTCCCCCTTATTTTGTGTTAACATTTTTGCTGGTGAAGTTTCCTTCTTTCCACCCTGCAAACAATGACATTACCAGTACCTTCAGATGGCACTACACATGCAATCATTCACAGAATAGCTTCCAGTAGGGCTCAAAAGCCATCATTGAATAGCGCTTTAGAAACCCATAGTATGGCCAAATTGCAAAATTCTGGTTTTCAAATCCTTAATCAGGCACTTTTGCTGACTTCAAAGTCTGTTAATTTCTCCTTTCGTTCCGTGCATCTGCCTGTACTTTTCCTTTTCCTGAGATGCTGTTTTCTGCACAGCTTTTATAAATACTGCTAATCACACCCATTGACTATAGAAGAAAATAGCCAGGCTTGTGTGCTCTCTTTTTTTCTCCTGGAAAAATGCCACAGGGAAGATCTAACTAAAGTGGCTGCAATGATGGCTGCAGCTGGTGCCCTCTTCAAAACTGGGTCCCCCCTTGTTGCTTTCAGCTCTGGGCTGCAAAAAGCAGAGAAGCTGGGGGACAGTGAGAAGAGTGATGCTCCTGGGATCCTCAAAGCATTTGAACACACTTCATGGGGCTTTATTACAGTCACCTGTTTGAAGGGATGGGGGAAAAAAAAAAAGCAAAACCTTGCTAACAGTCTAAAAGCTTCCTGAAAACAATTAATCTCCCAACAAACCCCCAAAGGCTATCTGTCAAGCAGTTAATAAAGACAAAATGTCAGGATGCCACATGGCTGCTAATAACTGCAGGCAGGAGGTGACATGAGCTCCCAAGCAAAGAAGCAGCAGCTATGTCATCTCGTGCGTGGTCACGCATTAAAGCCATCACACAGAAGCTGGGGCTGCTGGCTTTTGTGTTTCTGCAGACATCTCTGATCTGAGCACCTCTGCTGCTGCGTTGGCATTACCAATGCAAAAGCCCACAACAGAGGAGGATGCAACAAGTCCAATCTGCAGGTGTTGGATCACCCAGAGGGGACTGGTGGGAGAAGCAGAAGCTGCCCCATGTCCCAGGAGGGGTC